TTGTCGTTGTTGATTTGGTCATGGGGCTTGAACTTTGGGCTAGGGCCCTGTCCCTCAGCTCTTGAGCTTAAGGTGAGGGCGCTCTACCACTTGAACCACAGCTCCACCATTTTTCTGGTGGTTTATTGGAGATAAGAGTCTCACAGACTTTCCTACTGGGGCTAGCTTTGAACTGTGATCCCCAGATCTCAGCCTCCTGAGTAGCTAGGATTACAGGCGTGAGCCACCAGGCATGAGTGCCCGGCTGAATGGGGCATTTTGACTTGGTGCAAAGGATCATCATCATCCACCAACAAAGCTACTGAATGTTGTAACAATTTCCTTCCTTCCTTCCTTCCTTCCTTCCTTCCTTCCTTCCTTCCTTCCTTCCTCCCTCCCTCCCTCCCTCCCTCCCTCTCCCTCTCCTTCCCCTTTCCCTCCCCCCTCTCTCTTTTTCTTTGTCATTCAGGGGGCTTGAACTCTGGGCTTGGATGCTGTCCTGAGCTCTTCAGCTCAAGGCGAGCACTTTACCACTTAAGCCACAACACCACTTCTGGTTTTCTGGTGGTTTTATTTGAGATAAGAGTCTCATGGGCTTTCCTGCCCAGGCTGGCTTTGAACCATGATCCTCAGATCTCAGCCTCCTGAGTAGCTAGGATTATAGGCCTGAGCCACCAGCGCCTGGCTTTCTTTTCTTTTTTGAGATGGAGTCTCACTGCTTAGCACTGAATGGCCTTAAACTCACAATCCCAGCCTTAGTCTCCCGGGTGCTGGGATTACAGGTGTGAACCTCCGCACCTGGTTTAGCTTTTTTGACTTCTGGAGTTGGGTTTCCAGAAGAGAGATTGATGTCTGTAGTTTATCTGAGAGTTTGTTTGCCCTTAGTCTGGGAGATAGCTGTAAAGGCACAATAGAGGTGCACGTGGAAATTAGTTTCAGAACTGCTGAAGACAAGTTTTGGGAAGGATAGAACATCGGGGATGTCTCAGGACTGAGTATTTATTTGAAACTTTCTGACAAGAGCTGTAGGATTTAGGAAGCTTATTCCTGGAAGGATAAAAACCAGGCATGGGAGACTATCCTTGAGTAAATGGGAGATGAAGAATTACAAGGTGGGGGGGCGGGTGTTATTTACATACCTAACACCAGTCGCACAACTCTACTTATCACCAGTCCCCAGAAAGACACGAAGGAGACCCATGTGACCTCTGGAGGAGTCACCTTACTTCTCAATTTTCCCTTGGCTGAGTCTGTGTACAGATCATTTAGAGAGAAGGATGGCACTGTTACGATTTTTTTTGTGTGTTGTCAGATGGCTCTTATTATTATTATTGAACAAATTGCAAAAATTAGAAAGCCTTAGAGGAACATACTTATTTCTACCAACCTAATTCTGCCAAGTGTCAGATCAACAGCAATGTCCTGAACCTGAAGCGGAGAAGCAGCCTCTTGCCTGGTTTTTGCCCAGGCTTCTGGCTTTTCTCTCCGATAACAAGATGACAGGAGCCTCCTGCCCTGCAGCCCAAGCCTTACTCGCTCTGTCCTGCTCCTCTCTCCCCAAAGGAGGCCCCTCTCTGCACTCTGGGATCCTGGGGAAGTTGGGAACTGGTGACCCCTGTGTAGGCTTTGGCAGCCCTTCTGAGGGTTTCCCTTCAGATTGCTGGGGAGCATGTGGGGCCCTTGTGTGTAGGAATGTGAGGACCTTTCCGGTTTGGAAGTAAGTCAAGTAGTGCCTGGGAGAGAACCCTTCAGGATGGTGTGAAGTGGCTGTGTTCGCAGTTCCATGTAGAATTTGTAGATCTGACTAAGAACTTTACAAATGTTCTTTTGGTGTGTGGGTGGATTTGAAAGACTCAAACTTTTTTTTTTTTTTTTTTAAATTGTGCTTTGGGAATCATAGATTTTATTAGAAGGAAGTGTTTTCTGGTTCTGATATTTGCCTATTTCTGTGGAAACATGCAAATGACACTCTGGCCACCTTTATGAGTACTGGTCTCAGATGAACATATAAAAGACATTGAAGTTTTTTGTTTTGTTTGTTTGTGTGGTGCCAGTACAGAGGCTTGAACTCAGGGCTCTGCTTTCTTGCTTGGCTTTTTCTGCTCAAGACTGGCACTCTACTTCTTGAGCCACACCTTTACTTCCAGATTTTTTTTTTGCTGGTTAATTAGAAATAAGAGTCTTTTGGATTTGTCTGCCTAGGCTGGCTTTGAATCTTAATTCTTAGATCTCAGTTCGTGAGTAGCCAGGAATACATTTTAATTGAAATGAATATAGCTAACTGATTGACAGAATAAGATAAAGTACTAAAAAAAAAAAAAAAACCAAACCAAAAACAAAAAACCCAGATACACACAGTAAAAAGCCAGATTCTCAGGTGATATTGTCCAAAAACCATGCCCGAATTACCTGACTTAGGAAGTGGTAACCCTGTGTCCAACACCTTAGTAGTGATAAAATTATATTTTTAAAAAGCCAGATTGTCCCCTTCCTAGTTCTGTTTACTTATTCTCATCCCTCCCAGCCTTCAATTCTTCCCAATCTATATAACCACCTTATCATACAGAAGTCCTCTAAACTTAGAAACAGGATTTCTCCTATCTTGAGTTGATTATGGCAGTCTATGCTAGCAGCAGCTTTTAAAGCTTAGCTTTTTCAGATAAGATTCTTTCTCTTTCCTATATGACTTTTCTTTCCCTGGTTGAATATAATTTATTCAGATTGAAATAAAACTGAAGTGACTTATATTAATTGATTGAACTCATCATATTAATTGATGAAGTATGTAATAGGTAGAGACATGAGGAGGGTCAATCTTTGTTTCTACTTGGGAGAGGTTGAGGCTCCCTGCCTTTTGTGAGATTCTAGAGAACTCTCCTGGTCCCTTGTTTGGGAGAAAAGTCCAGTGTTGCTGAATGAGACAGTCAACAACTAAAACAATAACAGACACAGTGGGTCTCCTGTGTCTTATCTTGGGAATTGAAAGAAAGAAAGAAAAAAAGGCAAAGCAAGATGTAATTGTGTTACAGAACTCAAAGTTGTGTAGTTTTTTTTTTTTTTTTGCGGGTCGTGAGGCCTGAACTCTGGGCCTGGGCACTGTCCCTCAACTCTTCAGCTCAAGACTAGTGCTCTAACACATGAGCCACAGCACCACTTCCAGCTTTTTCTTATGTGATTATGAGGAATCAACCCAGGGCCTCATGCGTGCAAGACAAGCACTCAACCACTGAGCTACCTTCCCAGCCCAGTTTTTTTGTTGTTGTTTTTTTTAAAAAATATGTTGGACACCTTATTTCTTTATTCTCTGTTGGCAGAATCTCAAAAAACTGTATTTTGAAATTAGGCAGCAAAAGGAAAAATTAACATTTGAAAAAATTAACATTACAAAAATTAACATAGGACAATAGAGCCAAGGACTCAGGACAGATCAAAAGCAAGGGCTCCTTCCTTCCTGCGTCTAGCAAAATGGGACGTGAGAATACTTACCAGTAAGTGACATCCCAAAGAGTCATGTTATTTATAAAGTAAGTAGGATTTAAAAAACATTCCTCCCCAGTTCCCTACTAAATTATAAAATGAGTGTGAGGCAGACTGACAGTCCTAAATATAGCATCTTTTTAAGATAATCAGAGCCATTCTACAGTCACATTGAGTGTTGAGTGTGGAGCTAATTCAGGCTCCTGGTCTCTCGAGTCTTCTGCAGTGTTTAAGCAACAATCACAGGCCTCTGTGGGGCTGCCCCACCCCCATCCCTTCCGCTATGGCCTTTTCCACCTGTCAAATCACTCTTTTATTTTTTAAAATTTATTATTTTTTTGCTGGTTGTGGGGCCTGAACTCTGGGCCTGGGTGCTGTCTCTCAGCTCTTCAGCTCAAGGCTAGCGCTCTACCACTTGAGACACAGCGCCACTTCCAGCTTTTTCTGCTTACGTGGTGGTGAGGAATTGAACCCAGGGCCTCATGCATGCAAGGCAAGCTTACTCTACTACTGAGCCACCTTCCCAGTCCCAGATCACTCTTTTACAATTGCATCTGTGATTATGTCTTTTAAACTGTGGGGCTCTCCTGGGCACAGTCTGTGAGCATGAAGCACAATGTCTGATACTTAGTAGGCACTCAGCCGTTTGAATTAAATGTACAGATGGATAAATTAATGGCGTTTAAGAACAGCTAACCAAGCAAAATGAGGTGAATGATAAATAGAAACATCTACAAAGGTGTTATTGCAGGTCAGATAGGAGAAATGATTCTACAGGAAGTCATAGTACCCTTTCAAGGGTCAGAAGATTAAGAGGAATTTTTTGTTTGTTTGTTTAGAGAAATAAGACAAAGAGTAGGAGCATCAACGCACAAGTTACAGATGGGGACTGTTAAGTCTTCTGACGAAAATGTAGTGGAACTGAGCCTGCCACCAGTACCCTTGAGTGGCATGCTAAGGAGTAGTTCCAGTGGCTTGCTATCTGACCCTCTAGGTCAATCTGGCGTTAATGTGAAAGGAGACATGGGAAAGAAAAGAGAGTGAGGCTGGACCAGCAAGGGAGGAGACCTTTGGATCTGCCAATGCCTGACACAATGCTTGCTCTTAATGGGTATTTAATTAATAGATGAACTACTAAATGAATGAATGATCCAATGAGAGAGGCTGAGTGCCTAGGGTCATAAACAAGGGCCTGTGGGAATGCACAAGTTCATTTTGCTTCTTGCTTTTAAATCTGAGAAAGGGTTTTGGATGAGAGAAATTCGCCACCTTAAAATAAAAAATGTACAAACTAACCTATGTTTTACCTATGCGTATTTTGACTACTCATCTAAATTAATAGAAGATGCTTCTAGTAATAAATAATATAAGATTATACTGGTAATTTGAAGAGGACATTCGAAAGGAAATTACATTGAAAACTAACTTGGAGAAATTGTAAGAAGGGCAACTCTCCTTTATACTCTGGTGGCTTGCCCATCTATTTAATTTTCCTTTGTTTGTTTGTTTCATTAAGGATGTTTCCAATTCCTTCTATTCCACAGCTGAACACTTTCCAGGCAGTTCTGGCATCTGATGAGTCGGATACCTACGCTCTCTTTCTATATCCCATCAGTGGTCTTCAATTCTTTGGAACCCGCCCCAAAGAATCCTATAATGTCCAGCTCCAGCTTCCAGCTCGGGTGGGCTTTTGCCGAGGCGAGTCTGAGGACCTGAAGAGAGAAGGATCATATTTCAGCTTGACTAGCAATGAACAGTCTGTGAAAAACCTCTACCAGTAAGTAACAAGGGAGTATCCTGGACTGTCTCAGTGTAATGACTTTTAAGTGGCCATAGGACACAAGACAATAGCTCGGTGGTTTCGAAGAAAGCCAGGAATCAGACTGAACCCTGGGAAAATCAGGTTGTCCAGGATATAAAAGGTCCTTTATTTTTCCTGCCCTCTGCAGTATAGATACCAGAAACAGCTGTGTGTGTGTGTGTGTGTGTGTGTGTGTGTGTGTTTATGGGTGTGTAGAGCTGCTGAGACTTGCTATGAAAAACATTGCTCTTAAAACCACATAAAATTAACCCAGTAATATAAACTGCCTTGGTGGAAATTTTTTGAGGTTAAACATTTCACAAAAGGAGACATTGTAATTTAATATTTCAGACAGATACTGTTAACAATTAAGAGTAATGTCGTATGAGGAAAAATTAAATCGGTGGTAGATTTTTAGAAATTTAAGCATTTTTCTGTGGCTTCATAACCTGAACTCATTCTGATGGAGTCCCCAGAAGTGAAGATATTCCTTAGTCTCACCAATGGCTTCCTCTGCTAATGGAATGAGAGGTTCTTGAGCTAATATGAGCTTTATGAACCCCAGTGGGTTTTGTTTTGCTGTGCTTTTTAGTCTTTGCCTTAATTCTTCCCTAAATACTGGTCCAGAACACATTGGTTACTTTTTCTTTTCATTTTCATTAATTCATTCTTGGGTTAGAGAAACACCTTCTACTTTTACATTTGCTCTGCTTGGCTTCCAGAGTGGGCACTATAGCCAGAGACTCTCTGAGCTGTCCTTCAACGGGAGCTTATCATTTACTAAGCACTGTGAAAAACACTTTCCAGATGTGATCTTACATTAAAAGGTCTATACGCTGAATTAACAAGGGATGGTGAGGAAAAGCCATTAAAACTCACCCAAATTGTAGGAGGCAAGTGCTACTATTTTCTCAATTTTACAAGTCAGTGTAGTGAAGTTAAGTGAGATGCCTGTACCCTTAGGGTTAATTGGCCTTAGACACAGTCTAAGCTCAGTTCTGGAGCATGGAGCACTTTGTTCTATTTTATACTTAGCTCTTCTTTTCCATTCCATGGCCCACATCAGTCATCTTCATGTGGCCTGCTACAAGCTGAGGTCCTTGCCATCTCTCCCTTTATTTTTTAAAATTTAATTTGTTAATTAGTGTGTGTGTGTGTGTGTGTGTGTGTGTGTGTGTGTGTGTGCGCGCGTGTGTTGGTACAGAAGCTTGAACTCAGGGCCTACATGCTGTCTTTTAGCTTTTTTGCTCATGGCTAGTGTTGTACTTGAGCCCAGCTCCACTTCTGGCTTTTTGGTGGTTAGTTGGAAATAAGAGTCTCTGTGCCTTTGCTGCTCAGATTGGCTTCGAACCATGATCCTTGGCCTCCTGAGTAGCTAGGATTATAGGTATGAGCTATTGGTGCCTGGCTATATTTTCTATCTTATAAAAGGGAAGACAATAGTTATTATGTAGGTATTATGCACAGAGCTTGTGCTGTGCATTTCTTGTGTTTTTCCTTATTGAATCTTTTAAACAACCCAGACAGGAAAGTATCCCTTCTCATTGTGCAGGGATATAGTACAGTTCAATTACTAAGGTTTCCAAATGACCTTGGAGTTTAGAGTCAACTTAGATTGGTGACTTTTCCATCATGTACAAAAGCCAAGATAGTGATTTATATTTCATTAGAGCCTATTTTATTTAGCCTCTATTTACTGTAATTTGTATTTTCTTACTTTCTGAAGCTTTTCTAGTTTTCCATCTCTAAGTTGCAGAAGTTTCACAGCTGCAACACCTCTAATGTGATAATATATCTCCTCAAACGTCTAGGAGTTTCTTTTATCTTTTACTTTCCCTCCTTTTGCTTGCTGAAAAACAACACTAGTCTGAATTCTTATGGAATATATCCAGTGTATCTGACACACTGCACATATAATGGCAGTTTTCCTCTTTCAGCGTTTCTTATCCCTATATTAACTAGAACAGCAGTAATAAAATATACAAAAAGTCACAAATACACACACACACACACACACACACACACACACACAGAGGTGGAGCAAACAGGAGAGAGGAAGAGAGAAAAGAAAATCTCAAATTGTATTGAAAATGCTGATAGTGAAATCTAAATAAACATGGATTCCTACTCAAAAGAGTAAAAGTCTCTTTTTAAACTACTGAATGATTTTTATTTATTTATTTTTTTTGCTGGTCCTGGGGCTTGAATTCTGGGTTTGAGTGCTGTCCCTGAGCTCTTTTTGTGTGTGTGTGTGTGATTAATTGGAGATGAGAGTCTCTTTTACAGACTTTTCTGCCCAGGCTGGCTTCAAACTGCAATCCTCAGATCTCAGCTTTCTGAGTAGCTAGGATTACAGGAGTGAGCCACTGGCACCCAGCTTATTTAGTGAGCTTTTAAAAAGTTAGCTTATTAGTTATTCATTCTCATTCTTCATTGTTGACTTTTGATTAAATTCCATAGAGTAGAATTTGAGCATAGTATTTTGTATAAACAACAGAATACATAGTGGTATGTTCAAGGTAACAAGATCTTTGCTAGCTTAAGATTTTCTGTTATTTTTAGAAATCTTGTGTGTAGTAGTTCTCTTGAGAATGTATCATTGACTCTAAAGTAATGGATTATTTGAATATTTTGAAGACTGGGTGGAGTCCATGCTCTCTGTGGAAAAAAATGATTTTTTTCAGATTTTCCAGACACATCTCACCTATGACCACCCCTTACATTCTGATTAAGTTACATTCTTATTTTTCTCCTTCACTTTGTTCTGCATTTTCTAGAAAGCTTAATGATAGGTATTTATTTTTGTGCAGGTCCTGAGGCTTGAGTTCAGGGTCTGGGTGCTATCCCTGAGCTTATTTTGCTCAAGATTGTGCTTTACCACTTAAGCCACAGCTTCACTTTCAGCTTGTTAGTGGTTAATTGGAGATAAGAGTCTCATGGACTTTCCCATCCAAGCTGTCTCTGAAGCACAGTCCACAGATCTCAGCCTCCTGAGTAGCTAGGATTACAGGTGTACATCACCAGCTTCTGGCGCAAAAATTTTTTTTTTTTTTTTTTTTTTTTTTGGGGGGGGTCTGGTCGTGGGGCCTGAACTCGTCCCTCAGCTCTTCAGCCCAAGGCTAGTGCACTACCACTTGAGCCACAGCGCCACTTCCAGCTTTTTTCTTTTTGCTTATGTGGTGCTGAGGAATCGAACCCAGGGCCTTGAGCATGCAAGGCAAGCGCTCTACCACTGAGCCACCTTCCCAGCCCATGGCCCAAAAATTTTTAATCCTGGGACATTTATATGTTTTTGAATTTTTTTCTATTATTCTCAGATTTATTAGTAGATTAATTCTACGAGTAACAGTGAAATGTCCTTAGCTCTCCATCACATGATGATCACGCAGATACTGACTGTATTGTGCAGTCTTTCTGACATAACATGTTTAGATTATGGACTTTGGTATAAACACTGAATTCAGGTCTTGGCTCTGCCAGTTACGAATTGTGTGACCTTAAAAACATTAGTCTCGGGCTGGGAAGGTGGCTCAGTGGTAGAGCGCTAACCTTGCATGCCTGAGGTCCTGGGTTTGATTCCTCAGCACCACATAAGCAAAAAGAAAAAAGCCGGAAGTGGTGTTGTGGCTCAAGTGGTAGAGCGCTAGCCTTGAGCTGAAGAGCTGAGGGACAGCGCCCAGGCCCAGAGTTCAAGCCTCACAACCGGACCCAAAAACATAAAAACATTAGCCTCTCTAAGCCTAGTTTTTCCTCAGTAAAATTGTACACAAACACCATACATATCTTGAGTGAAAAATGTCAAACTCTCAGCACAGAGGCTGGCAGGTGATCAAAGCATACAGTAGTTCTTATCCCTTAAGTGTTTGGAGACAGATTTTAAGCATTTTTTTTCCTTGAGTGTTATACATTTTCAGACAAATAAAAGGAGAATAAAACATTTTCACAATTCTGTTTTCAAATAGCCTGATACAGCTGTATGTATATATAGCCTGATACATCTGTATGTATATGTAGCCTGATACATCTGTATGTGTATAGGTATGCATGCATGTATTTATTTGTGCTGGCATAGGGCCTAAACTCAGGACTTCATGTTCTTCCTTGGCTTTTTTGCTCAAGGCTGGCACTTTACCAATTGAGCCACATCTCTACTTCTGGCCTTTTGTCAGTTAATTGGAACTAAGAGTCTCTTGGGTTTTGTCTGCCTGGGCTGGCTTTGAACCAGGATCCTCAGATCGCAGCCTCCTGAGTAGCTAGGATTATAAGTGTGAGCCACTGGTGCCCAGCTCACGTAGCCTTGTTTTAGACAAAACATTTTGATTTATAACATGATCTGGCATTTGAAACTTAACATTAAAGGAAAGGTAGTTGACGTTGAAACTCCAGTATAAGCCTTTTAAAGGCTTTCGGTTTTAAAATAATAGACTTAGTTTTGTGGGAAGGAGAGTGAGTAGACATGTTTTTTGATACCCTCTACTGTTTCTTTTCTATTTAGACGAAGCAACCTGGGGATTCCTGGGGTGTGGGCATTTCATATTGGCAGCAGATTCCCTCTGGACAACGTGAGGCCAGCCACAGTTGGAGGAGACCTTTCCACAGCTCACTCTTCAGCTCCTCTGCAACATTCTTTTAGCCACGCTGCAGCCCTGGAAGGTGACTATACTGAGGACAATTTGGATTATTACGATGAGAATGAGGAGGAAGTTGAATACCCCCCAGGTTTGCCAGAGGAGGCACCAAATGGCCACAGCAGAACTGATGTGTCCTTCCACAGGAAAACTGATGCAGGCCCTTTTGGAGTTGATCCAGCTGCCCCCTTACCACACCCAGCACCCAGTGAATGGCCAATCTACCCAGAAGCAGAACTGACCACTCTGGACCCTCAGACCAAAGAGGGTGCCTCCCTGGAGGAGGTAGAGACCCTGGATTTAAAAGGCCAAGCAGAACCTTTGGACCAGACAGGGACTAGAAGCCCATCTCCACCAGAGGCCAATAGAGGGTCACTGGCTCCCCCACTGGAAGGCCCACCACCCTACCCTGGGCACAGCGAAGGGGCGGTACCTTCAGAACCGGATGTTCCTGCAGCCCCTCCAGAAGGGGAAATCATCCTTCCTGGTCACCCAGTGCCAGACCACACACCGCCCCTGAGTCAAGGGAGGTATGTGGTAGGAATGGAGGACATCAGTCCCAATGCTGAGGGTAAGTGCATCCCACCGCTGGGAAGCTGAGATTTCTTTAGGGAATGCTGATTGTGTTGCAGTTGTGATTTTTTTTCTCTCAAGCCCTGAGTAGGTGAAAAGTTTCGCAAGAAGATTGGAATTGAGCTTTACTTCCCCATGTTGCAGAAGATAGTTTCCTTTGCCAGACAAATCTTGGCCAGCAGGATCTGTTTGGAACTCTTGACCATTAATAATGTGCTTTCAGAAAAAAAAAAACAAAAACCCCAACAAACCATAGGCCTCATGATGAGAGTGGGGTTGGAACTTGGCTGCTTGTACTACTAGCTACACTCCCAAGTGCAATGAAATATTTCAGTTTGAAAGTTCAGCAAAGTTTTGAGGCCCCCCTCCCACTCTCCTGCACATTTCAGGGCTTGGAGGGTAGACTCATTATTTTCCTCCCGAGTAGTGAGTTGTGTGGGCGCAGATGATCAAGCCAGGTTCATACTGCTGAGCAGACAAGCTGTGTGTTCCCCTTGGTTAGAGATGCGCATGGGTTATGTGGGCCCAGGGGGAGAGCCCATGGGGGAGGTAGATGACACACACCTGTGGCTGCTGTCATTCTGGTTCTCGGCTGCGCAGCTGTGGGATACTGCTCCCTGGAGCCCTGGCCTCATCTCATGACTCACTGGCTGGAGCTGGAGGTGAGGTAGTAGTGCTTCACCAACTCAGACTGGGAAACTGACCACAGACAGGTTCATTTTGGTTGTTCCCAAGCCTGCTCCGATGGCCTGAGGGCTGGGGAGCGGGGAGGAGGGAAGGAAGAGGTCAAAGGTGAAGTTATCTTTGGAATCCTCATTTTGTTACCACCTTTTTTTTTTTTTAAGTATGTGTGTTCTATCCCTGTTGTGAAGGAATCATACTGACCTAGCAAACAAGGGCCGTCTGGGTTCTGCTATGATATTGAGCACAGCATTTTGTTTGAAGACACACTTACTTTGCAAGGGGGAAAAAAAAACCCAATATTTTGTGACTAATGTGGCATTGTGTAATGATCGCAGGAAAAGCTTTGGTGTCAGAGTTCACTGGGAATCCTGGCTGCTGGAGGAAAGTCAGGCAGCTCCCGAGCTGCTTATTTCTCACACATTTCCTTGTCAGGGTTAAATGAAATGATATATGGAAGTGCTTAGTGTCTCTATTAATTGTCTCTTTAAAAAATGGTACCTGCAGTTTTTCATTTTAGAAAACACTGAGATTGGGGAGGAGGACAGGTGAAGAAAATACTTGAGAGTTTTGCCATAATTTGTGTCTAAGGGGCTATATCTTTGTAAAGTTGAAGATGTGGATTTTATTAGAAGGCTTTAGAACCTTCAGATCCTCTAACAGGCTCCAGAATTTTCATCATGAGTTCTCTAAAGCAAGTCTCAGCTGGACACCAGTGGCTCACATCTGCTATTCTAGCAACTCAGGAGGCTGAATTCTGAGGATCTAGGTTTGAAGCCAGCCTGAGTGAGAAAGTCTGTGAGTGTCTTATCTCCCATTAGCCACCTAAAAGCTGGAAATGGAGCTATGGCTCAAGTGGTAGAGTGCCAGCATTAAGCAACAAAGCCAAGGGACAGTGCCCAGGCCCTGAGCTCAAGCTCCATTAGCAGCACAAAACCAACAACCACAAAAAACACTGGGGAGTCCCAAGGATGCTTCAGGCAAATATGTGTTCCACTCTGGGAAGCAAAGGGGGTGACGGAGACCAGAGTGGCAGAGTCTGCCTGGGCTTTTCCACTAATGGGGTAGAAAGTGCATGCGAGGTGTTTTGGGGCAGGCACTGACTGGGGATGACCCTGTTTCCCTCAGCTCTTGAGTGTAGATAACACAGATCTTAAAAACTACACCAATAAAATTTACCTTCTCTTCTCAACTTCTAATAGTCATTTTGCTAAACCAAGGGATGTATTACTAAAGACCCAGAAAATCTCTCTCCTCTTTTGAATTATTTTTTCCTTGGGGGCTTCTTTAGACTTAAAAAAAAAATAAAGCTGGGCAATCGTGGCTCATGGTGCTGTGGAAGCTGAGACCTGGAGGATTGTGGTTTTCAAGTTAGCTCAGGCAGAAAAGTTTGAACTTCATAAGACTCCATTTCCAGTTTACTAGCAAAAAGTAGGGCTGGAGGTGTGGCTCAGGTGGTACAACACCAGCTGAGCAAGTAAGCTGAAAGAGCTTATCAGGTGGTACAACACCAGCTGAGCAAGTAAGCTGAAAGAGCTTAAGGCCAGTACTGGCAAAACAATTCAGAAATGTAGACTCTTTTCAGATAAGATTTTTCAAATACCTGTTTAAAATATTTATTTAATCAATTCGATGTTCTTTTTTTGTTTGTTTTATATCCGCATCAACTCTGCTCTCAGTTTTCTTTGCTCAAGGCTGGCACTCTTACCACTTGAACCACATCTCTACTTCTGGCCTTTTGTTGCTCATTTGGTGATAAACAGTTGTGTGGATTTGTCTGCCTGGGCTGGCTTCGAATTAGGACTTTTACATCTCAACCTCCTGCTAGGATCACAAGCATGCACCACTGGTGACCAACAATTGCTTCCATTGTCATAGATCTTGGAAGCAGCGATGCCACCAACATAATGAGTACTCCATCTCTGAAGTAATTTGTTATCACACTCAAACATTAGCCAAGCACCTGTGTGTTCTTCCCCTAAACCAGGCACTGAGCTGCCTGCGTTGTGAGTAGTGGGAGGCCTTAGGGAGACAGTAGGTGGAAGGTGTCTAGAGATTTATTGGGTGGCTTAGAGATCCTGCTGGCTCTCCAGTAGGAACTTGGCTTTAGTTATACTATCTTAGTCCTCAGAGTCGCCTTCTCCTCGTCTCCTTCCCATCTGCTCATATGCAAATGGAAGGATGGAAAAATGGAGTGACTTGTAACTAGTGAGGACTGCAACAAGGCCAGGGTAGACAGACAAAACTGTTACCCGTCCCCCTCCCCCCCCCCCCCCCCATGACAGGGAGCATCTGCATATGTGGCCACAGTAGGGAAAGCCTTGGGGTAAGAGTGGGGTGTTAAGTCAGGCCTTGGGGTACAGTGTGAGGTAAGAGAGGGGGAAAAGTGTGAAGAATACATTCTAGACAGCAGGATGACAGGAGTAGAGATCCAGAGGTGGAAATGGGAAGGGGGAGAGAGGGAGAAGATAGACTCCAGCACTACAGAGCGAGCCTTTTAGTGTCAGGACAGCTGGTAGAAACTTTTACCTCAGGTCCTGATCGCTTTGCTGCCAGCATCACTAACGCTCCATACACATCCATCAAAATTAAACAACTGGCTGGGTGCAGCGGCTCACAGTTATAGTTGATACTGGGAAGTTGATATTGAGAGGATCAAAGTTTCAGGCCAGCCTGGGTTAAAAAACAAAACAAAACAAAAACAAGATGCATCTATCAACAAGCTGAGGGAGGGCTGGGAGAGGGTGGGGGAAGAGGGGAAATTCACCTATGATTTCAGCTACTCAGGAGACAAGTGGGTGGGTAGGTTGTGGTCTGAGTGAGACCTTACCTGAAAATAAATTAAAAAGCAAAAGAAGGACCAAGGGTGTGGCTCAAGTGGTAGAGCACTCAAGGCTCTGAATGAAAAAAAACAAAACAAAACAAAACTTAGAACTGCTCAAAACAAGGACAAAAACCACGGAAAGCAAGGGGAAAAAAGAGGTCACTTTCTTTATGAGTACATTTATTTTATTTTTTTGGGTCCGGTTGTGGGGCCTGGGCGCTGTCCCTCAGCTCTTCACCTCAAGGCTAGCGCTCTACCACTTGAGCCACAGAGCCATTTCCGGCTTTTTCTGCTTATGTGGTGCTGAGGAATCGAACCCAGGGCCTCATGCATGCAAGGCAAGCGCTCTACCACTGAGCCACCTTCCCAGCCCGGTCACTTTCTTTTCTTATGAAGTGGGGTATGGGTTTTCTATTCAGCAAGTCATTTCTATTTAGGATGTCATTCTAAGAGCTTGACATAAGAGTTGCTTAAATTGAGTCTTCAGCTGCCATGAGCAGCCTGCATGAAGTCCTGCCGCCTCCTAGGCCAAGAAGTCTGACCTACACCCATGTCTTTCTGAGGCTCAGTGAGGAGGGCAGGCTGGCAGGCAGGCCAAGGCACGTGCTTAAGTGTTTCTAGAAAAATAAAGGTCAAAGGAGGGGTCGGAACAAGTGTAGAGGAGAATTTTCCATTTTTGTTAAAACCTCCCAACTAGGACAAATCTCGAGTCCTTTTGGCAGTGCCCCTGCCTTTCCTCCAATTACCCTCACCCCCTGTGTCTTTCTATTAAAAGATATGGAAAAAGTGAGATTCAAAGAAAACCAAACCATGTTGAGATTCCTTTAGCAATGATCAAACCTTGGCTGACAAATCTGTGACAAATTGAGCTCATTTAAACCTGGCAGCTTCTGCCTGACCACTGTGTGCCTCAAGATCCCAACAGACTCAGCTCTGGGCCACTTCGACTCTAGTGGTAGATGCTTTCTGGCAAAGCATAGGGCCCAGACGGTGAATGCATTTCTTTAAGCACACTCTCTCATTTACCTCACTTAACTCACTGGCAACTGGTTGAAAACACTGATTTTTTCAGCTGGGCATGATAGTGCACGTCTGTAATCTCAGCTATTCGGGAAACGATAGCTAGTAGATTGGATGATCACATCCTTGTCTAGGTCTGGGTAAACATCGCAAGACTCTACCTGAAAAGTAACTAAAAGCAAGAAGGACTAAGGGTGTGCTTCAAGTGGTGGAGTATGTGCCTAGCAAGCACATATTCTTTCCCTTCTCCAAGTTCAGACCCCAATATGGCCAGGTCAACAACAAAATATATATGTACAATATGCTTTTTTTTTTTTTTTTGTTAGTCGTGGGGCTTGAACTCTGGGCCTGGGCACTGTCCCTCAGCTCTTTAGCTCAAGGCGAGTATTCTACCACTTGAGCCATAGTGCCACTTCTAGCTTTTTCTGCTTATGTTGTGCTAAGAAATTGAACCCAGGGCCTCATGCACGCAA